GTATGCAAGTATAATTCGACTCTACCATACAATAAGTCTAAGTTATTCATTATGTTTCATTCAGAAACATCGCTAACTTAGTTCAACTCTATCATATAATAAGTCTAAGTTTACTCGTCATGTTTCATTTAGAAATATTGCCAACTTAGTTCAACTCTATCATATGCAAGTATAATTCAACTCTGTCATATAATAAGTCTAAGTTATTCGTCATGTTTCATTCAGAAACATCGCCAACTTAGCTCAACTCTATCAGAAGCAAGTATAATTCAACTCTACCATATGATAAGTCTAAGTTACTCGTCATGTTCACCATGGGAACATCGCCATAAGACATTTCGGTCTTATCGCACAATCATGGATTCTAACAACATTTTCATGCTTTTTTACATAGGCTTCGACATCCTTTTGCATGTAAGGTCACCAGAATCCCTATGATATAGCTCTGTGGGCAAGGGATCTACCGTCTACATGGATCTCGTGTAAAAAGTCTTCAACCTGGGAAGAATGTACACATCACAATAGAGGTCCAGTAAAAGTCCTTCTGTACAAATAGCTTTCTGCCGACAGGCAGAACTTAGCCGACTTCAGTCTAATCTTATATGCTTCTTTTTTGTCTTTTAGGATTTGGGATCTGCTAATTTAGGCTGAACTCTTGTCTTCTCAGACCTACTCATCTAGGCCGAGATCTTGTCTTCTGGGATCTGGGATCCAAGATCTAGAATCCAGTATCTGTTCACTTCGGCTGAGCTCTTGTCTTTTTGGACCTACTTATCTAGGCTAAGATCTTGTCTTTTGGGATTTGGAATTCGGGATCTACTCACTTAGGCTGAGCTCTTGTCTTCTCGGACCTGATTATCTAGGCCAAGATCTTGTCTTCTAAGATCTCGGATCCGAGATTCGGGATCTGAAATCCGGGATCTGCTCACTTGGGCTGAGCTCTTGTCTTCTTGGATCTAATTATCTAGGCCGAGATCTTGTCTTCTAGGATTTGGGATCCAGGATCTGCTCACTTAGGCTGAGCTCTTGTCTTCTCGGACCTACTCATTTAGGCCGAGATCTTATCTTTTGGGATTTGGAATCCGAGATCTGCTCACTTAGGCTGAGCTCTTGTCTTCTTGGACCTAATCATCTAGGCCGAGATCTTGTCTTTTAGGATCTGGGATCAGGGATCGCTCACTTAGGCTGAGCTCTTGTCTTCTCGGACCTAATCATCTAGGCCCAGATCTTGTCTTCTAGGATCTGGGATCCGGGATTCGGGATCTGGAATCTGGGATCTACTCACTTAGGCTGAGCTCTTATCTTCTCGAATTTAATCATCTAGGATCTGGGATCCGGGATCTGCTCACATAGGCTGAGCTCTTGTCTTCTCAGACTTAATTATCTAGGCCAAGATCTTGTCTTCTAGGATCTGGGATCCGAAATCTGGGATCTGGAATTCGAGATCTGCTTGCTTAAGTTGATCCTTCTATTCTTGAAAGTTATCTCCTTGGGAGCGTTCATGCCCCCTGTCTTTGCATCCCTTCTGGAAGGGTCTTCATTATCCTAATGTCGACACATTCTCCATCTTCGCTAAACTAGTCGTTGCCGACATGTTGATCTTGCACGATGATGGCCATCTATTCTAACTAAGTTCCCACAGATGGCGCCAAATTGTGGGTGTTGATTTCCAACCACACAACCAAACGGGGAACTTAGCTGGAGAGCACCGATAGAATAGATTAAGCTCGAACACCTGCCAACAAGAAGATGAGAATACCGCGGTGGTTCGTCCACCCAGGGGCACTCCAACGATCAAGTTAGTAATCTTATCTCTCACAGATATCAATACAAGTACTTAAATTTCAACAATGAAAGCATAAAAGCATCTCAAATCAGACATACCTTAGACCCACGAGGGTGCCTTACTTTTATAATGATCAATGTCCAATTTCCCCTAGAAGTGTAACTTCATGGGACTTTATCCTTTACAAGGATAACATTTATCACAACTCACACTATTTAGATTAAGATGAACTCACTCAAGAGTCCCATCTCTATCCAAATAGGTAGCTTGATGTCATCTAGGACTCTAGTTCTCTCTCCAAATATCTCTCTCCAAATATCTCGAATTCCGGTATTATTGCACCATATCTCGGCACCATAGTCTGCCCACGTGGTACCTCGGCCACGTGGACTACCTAAAAATATGTCTCCATAATTATTATAATTAATTTTTTTTAAAATTAAAAAAAAAATCAGCTTCAATGATGATAGGATAGCCAAACTGACCTAGATTATATCTTTTTTGGAGTATTGGCCTTTAAGAGATGGGTCGACCATTTCCAACACTTTTTCTCTGTTAATTAGCCTTGGAAGAGCTTAAATATTTACACAAGAAACAGCAAATTAGAGTTATTTTTTTGTATTTATACAAAATTAAAATATATTTATATTTATTTTTATTTTTGATAAAAATGAAAATATAAACTTGTTTTGAATGGATGTTTGTTCGGGCAGTTTGGTTATTAACTTCACTTAGATTATCGTAAGAAAAAATAAAAAGGTAATGTCATATAAATTAGGTGAAACTTCACTTTAAACTGGTGGTTTATTCTGTGTAGTTTAACTTCTGTTATTTAGAAATAAACACATAATTTTGCTTGGTTTGATTTTTAAAAATTATTTTTGAAAAAAAAAATAGTTAGACAAAATTAAATACTAAAAAAATATTTTTATAATTTTAAATATTATTTATACTCTTCAAAAAGATAAAAAAATGCATGGAAATGATGAGTATTTTTTATTTTTTATTTTTCCACTAAATTAATTTTAATTCGTTAGAAAAAAAAAATGTTTTTAAAAACAAATTCTGAAAATCAAATAAAACATAGCATAAAATTTCCCATGATTTGTGAATTGAAGTGCCTTGTTATTTCGTTCAAGTTAAGTGTGAAACATGTGTAAGGACATAAAAATGTTATGTGCTCATTTCTAAATGTCAAAGGATAAACCATATATGAAAAACACAAGAATTAAAGTGAATTTTACCTCCAGAATAAGTGATGAAACTGTATGTAATTTATATAATGAGATCACTTGTGTATAAGGATATTTTGATTTTTTCACTTGATCTTCGTTATAAAGTACATTCCATGTGCACCCCTGGCGTGGTAACCTTTCCATGTTTTTGTTCTCAAATGCAGTAGGTATATTTTGCAGTTAATTCTTTTGGGTATAATTATACTTAGTAAAGTCTAACTTTCTTCCCTCTACTCTACATTCTAAATCAAGTTATGATATCATCTTCATGTCCATTTGGTGTTAATGAGATTGATAGTAATTAAAATGTGCGTAGAACCGGACATACTTTTAAGTGTACAATTAAAAATACAGTCCCGCCACATAGCTCGAAATATCAGAGGCTCAAGTGGCCCGAAATTCCAAACAACGTCGTTTTGGGTTTTTTTTTTTTTTCCATAACTCGTTGCAGAAGAAGAAGAAGAAAGAAGAAAAAAGAAAGGAGAGAAGAAAAGAGGAGAGGAGAGACGGAGAGATTCAACAACCAAAACCAAAACCAATTAGACATCAACAACCAAACCAATCACAGATTCAAACCCACTAATCAAAACAAATCAAAACCAATCAGAGATTCACCAGAGAGATTCAAATCATCAACAACCAACACATCATCATCATCACACATAGAGACTTCACAGAGAGAAAGAAAGATAGATACACAGAGAGGGAGAGATATACAGATCTGTGGATACACACACAGATCTATCTGTGTATACACAGATTTGTATATACACACAGAGGATGGTAGGCGTCGGTGATGGTTTCTCTCTTCCTCTCTATTCCCCCTTCTCTCTCTTCCTCTTTTCTCTTCCTTCTCTCTCTCTTCTTCCCTCCCTCCTTGTGTTTTAGATATAAAAGAGGGGAAAAAAAAAATCAATCCAAAACGACGTTGTTTTGGATTCTGGCCAATCAAGTCGAGGAGAATTCGAGCTCTAAAGCATTTTTCTTAAAAATAGAAAAATGATATATAACTCACTTTTTAGACTAATTTTTTAGGCTCAAATGATATGTAAGTGAGATGATTAGTTGATAATTAGAGAAGATAAGAAAGAGAGAGAAAGAGAATTGCCTTACATATTTTAATTAGTTGTTACATCATTGAATTTGAAAAGTAGACCCAATTTTAGCATTAAATAGCAATGCTCTTAAAAATAAAGGGTTAATGTGAGTTTTTAATAAAGATACAATAATATGTTGTGTAATACACGGGTAATTCTATTTCCACACACTAATTATTCTCAGTATACACATTTAATGAACACTTTCTTAGTACACACATTATAAAAATATAAATTCTCACTACATATCTCTATATTCCAATATTACCTTTCTTTTCAATTTTAAAACTCCCTAGCTATGTTTAGTTTTAATTTTTGAATCAATATTTTGAAATTTTTATGAGAAAAATATAAATTAATTTGACAAAGATAAATACCAAAAATATATTTTTAAATTTTTAAATTTTTTTGCCCCTAAAAAGATGAAACCATATTGAAATAAGGTTTTCATGTTCTAAAACTATATCAAACAAAGTCTAATTTTATGGTATTTTAGAAATAGGGTTTGAGTAGAAGAAAATGAGGGTATTATGGTATTTTTATTCTAGGACAAAATTATATTAATGAAAATTTTCATTAAATGTGTGAATTGAGTAGAATTAGTGTGTGGAAATAGAATTACCCGTAACAGACGATTCTTTTTAGAATAAATTACACTCATCTCCTCTAAGGTTTGAAAAAAATATAATTAACCCTATATTTTTGACATAATTACATTGACTTTGCTTTTATAGTGGCTAAAATGACCTAAACTGATACAAATAATATACTAAAATAAACAAATATAGACATACATCATAATATAAAAGAGAAAATAACATTATTTTTTTATTCATATGACTAACAAATTACTAATAAAAAAATGTCAAACTATTATATGAATTACAAACTTAAAAGAGATTAATATAACAATTTCAAAAAGTATCAAAGTAATTTGTCTTTTTTTCAAATAGAGAGATGGTTGTCACTAGTGCTAAAAGATTCACACAAATGAGTTACATGGCTCTTGTGAGACAAAAACAACATTGAGTGAGAGAGAGAGAGAGAGAGAGAGATGGTAAAAGATTCATACAAACGAGTAACATGGCTCTAGTGAGACAAAAACAAAATTGGGAAAGCTGACTCTGACCTAGGCCTAAGGTATATGATGAACCATTTTTGGTGGGTGGGTTACTCTCAAAATGTCTCATTGTAAGTGGTCTCAGAATGAGCCAAGCTGGTTTCACAGCGTTTTTATTTACATTTTTGGACTCAAAATAGTCAGAGTCCCAAACAGACTTACTTGGGAGTTACTCTCTGACTAAATCTTAAAGAACTAGTAGAGGAGGAACATAGTGATACAGAAGAGAGGTTCTTAACAAGAGGGATTAAGGACTGCACCACATCTGTCATTAGAGGCCTATAATCTGCTTCTGGTTGCACACACATGGCTGCAATGGCTGCCACCTGTAGCAAAACCCCACATAAAAAAATATATAAAAAAAATTAATTAGATCAATAATTCTTAACGTATGCGATGTGTTATAATTTAGTTTTAAATTTTTTCAGAAAATTATAATATAAAAAACTTTAAAGTTAACAAAATAAATCTTGAATTTTTAATTTTATCAATTTAAATCTTAATCTTTTAATTTATTTTCAATTTAAACCATTCATCTATTTCCGTTAAGTAAAATTGACAGGAAAAGGATATTCTAGTCATTACAAAAATATCATTTTTTCTATTAGTTTTGCTTAACAAAAATAGATAGATAGTTTAAAGTAAAAATAAGTCAAAAGATTAAACTCGATTTTATTTTATTACAATTTGTAATTTTCCTTTCTTTTTTTTTTTTTAAATTTAGTTGTTAAATTTATGATTTGTTACAATAATGAGAGGGGTATTTTCTGAATTTACATGAAATTTCAACGAAGTTAAAAAGACAAAATATACATGTGGTTCTCAAGTGTCACACTTCAGTTTTTAATATTTTATTTACTTTTTTGATTTTGAATATCAAATTGTTTAATCTATTACACTTTAGTCTCTGGTATGTTGTTCAAAATTAATAACAGAAAGAAGGTTACTTTCAAAATTATAAAAAAAACTCAACAAAAGCAAAAAAAAAGCATATACACACGTTGTCCCTAAAATGTACATTTGGCTGTATTTTAGTTTCCAATTTTTTAATTTGTTGCATTTCTCTGTAAAATTCCAAAAATATTCCTTTTTTTCCGTTAATGATTTTGAACAATACTAGCCAGACAGACTAAAGAGTAAAATTGCATACTTTTAGAGGGAGTAAAAAATTCAAAAAATTTAGATATGAAAATATAATAATTTACATATTTTGGAGATTATTATAGTTAATAATAATAATAATAATAATAATAATAATAATAAAAATTAGCTTCAATGATGATAGGATAGCCAAACTGACCTGGATTAGATCTTTTTTGGAGTATTGGCCTTTAAGAGATGGGTCGACCATTTCCATCACTTTTTCTCTGTTAGTTAGCCTTGGAAGAGCCTAAATATTAACACAAGAAACAGCAAATTAGAGTTAGTTTGGTAATGTTTATACATTTTTTTTTTTGTATTTGTAAAAAATTAAAATATATTTATATTTATGTTTATTTTTAATAAAAATAAAAATATAAACATTTTTAATATACATGTGTATTTCAAAAATATATTTAGAAAATAAGATAAAAGGGGTGACTGCAGATAGTTGTCAACGACTGGAAATAAATAAGTGATTGAAGGTGGTTGACAGCAATTGAAGTACATTGTTAGTGATGTTGAAGGGGGTGGGATTAGTAAAATTTGTAAACAAAAATATATACTAATCGAGTAAAAATATATACTAATCGAGTTTTTGTTTACAATTTCAAAATTTTTTAGAAACGTAAATAGAGAAAACTGCAAATATAAATATTAATTTTATTTCAAAATACAGTTAAATCTAAGGAGTGTCAATTTGAGGAGATAGAATTTTGTTACTAACCCAAGAGACAAGGACATGTTCTCCAAGGGGCCGGTTGGTGTCGACCGGAACACGGCCGGTCAAGAGCTCTAGAAGAACCACACCATAACTGTATACATCTGATTTTGTAGTAAGTTTCCCTGTTGAAGCATATCTACATATTAAAAATAAAGAAACAAAAAAACAAAATTAGTAAGTCAGTTCACAAAGTGTTATACTTTATGGTTACCTAATGCCACTTCTTAATTCTAAATTTTTATGCTTTACTAGTAGTTATGCTCACATGCAATATATGTCCAAAAATAAATGATGGTTACAACAATTTGGAAATTAAGCTTGTTTTGGAAGACAATTTTGAAAAAAGTCAGAACTTGTGTTCACACCAAATGAGTGTGCACATTATGTAATGGTATAAATAATTAGAGTAAATCTTGGTTATTAATAGAAAAATATTTTTTTTAAAAGAAAAACCCTAATTTCATTTTCCCGATATAAAAAAAATACACACACAAAGAAAAACACGAATCAACACCGATTCCTTCACTAGCACAGGTTTTGGAGGTTGATAATGAATTCTTTTATTACTATTATTAATTTTTTAGATGCTAAAAAAATGGGTATTACAGATAATTTAATCAATTTACCAGTCGTATATGATAATTGCCAAAAGTGGACAAAATGTACCAAAAGGGCTAAATTGAACCAATTTCAAGAGTTGAAGGGCTTATTTGAACGGAAAATAGTTTTAGGGGCTCAATAAAAAAAAAAAGATACAAAGTTCAAGGATTTTTAACATAATTGAATCTACAATTAAGGGGCTGTTTGGAAATTATCAATAAGTAACAAATTTCCGTGCAGATGGTCCATGGCGACTGAGAGTGAGAAAGAATGGTCATTTTCATAATTCCCATTTTCCCTCGAGGCCTAGCGGGGGGGACCTTAGACCTATATGCATTGATTGAGTGAAAATGCATTACTTATTAGGTACACTAACATACATGACAAATAATGAACACTCACTCGGGGGCTAGATATCCAGTGGTTCCCAGCACGCGCGTTGAAATCAGACCGTTGATCTTATCCGACCCTGTTTTAGCCAACCCAAAATCGGAAACTTTGGCCCGGAAATTCTGATCCAAGAGTACATTGCTGGACTTGAAATCACGGTGGATGATCGACGGCACAGAATGCTCATGGAGGACCTCAAGGGCCCGGGCACAATCGAGGGCTATGCGCAGCCGGGTCCCCCAATTCAACGACCAGGATTGGTTGCGAGGAGGATGGAGGTGGTGATAGAGTGTGCCGTTGGGCATGAATTCAAATATCAAGAGGCGGTGGTGTTGGTCTGCACAGTAGCCTAGCAAGTCCGTCAAGTAGGGAGAGTGTAAGCGGCTTAGCAAGTCCACCTGACCAAAAAAATACATAAATAAATAATTATTTAGTAGTCTCTCAATATAACGTGACATTATATTTATAATTGATTAATCATTAGATTACTACCACATCAAGACTATGATTCTGTGATCAATTTTATAAAGTTGTTATTTTTTAGGTAGTATTTTCAATCAATGACTGATCTATTATTATTAAATAATTAGGAGAAAAAATAATAATTTACTACACGTGATATATTTTGTGATTATGTATTTGTTGAAAGCCTCATATAAATTATATTTTGGAATTACCTAATAGTAATATAATGTGATTTTGTGGAAGAGAGCCATGTGGAGGGATGAATATGTTCATTAATGGAGGAGCATGAAATGCGGAAGTGATTAAGAAACAGATGGGAGAGATAGAGATAGAGATAGAGATAGAGATAGAGATAGAGATAGAGATAGAGATAGAGATAGAGATAGAGATAGAGATAGAGATAGAGATAGAGATAGAGATAGAGATAGAGATAGAGATAGAGATAGAGATAGAGATAGAGATAGAGATAGAGATAGAGATAGAGATAGAGATAGAGATAGAGATAGAGATAGAGATAGAGATAGAGATAGAGATAGAGATAGAGATAGAGATAGAGATAGAGATAGAGATAGAGATAGAGATAGAGATAGAGATAGAGATAGAGATAGAGATAGAGATAGAGATAGAGATAGAGATAGAGATAGAGATAGAGATAGAGATAGAGATAGAGATAGAGATAGAGATAGAGATAGAGATAGAGATAGAGATAGAGATAGAGATAGAGATAGAGATAGAGATAGAGATAGAGATAGAGAT